GTTCCGTTCCAAAACAACGGGATGGTAATAATGAACACACGTTGGTATATTACCAACGTTTTCAACAATTACGAGTCGCTCGGCTTCTCGTTAAAGATAGACATTGCTGATAAAATATTTTTTTAATTATATGACGTCATCGTTTCAAGCTTGGCGTACGACAGAGCACTTACTGTTGTCCAGTCATTTCAACCCTAATAAAATCTTACTTTCTTAATTAAAACAAAATGTAACTTAACCATGGGGTATGGGATATGTACACTTGAAAATTTAGGTAAATTTGACTGTTTATGATGAGATACGAGGCAAAAACTAAAATTGTGCAAAGCTACCTGGGTAAAATCTACACTAAGCCTCAGACTAGTAGTCTGAGACTAACCTAGTTGTTTTTTTACTTCATTATGGCTAAAAATAAACAAACTCAAGGTATGAAACCTTGCCAGAAAATTAGACTGTTGACGGTTTTCTATTTCTTCAATATATATAAACCAAATTAGTTTATATCGTTGCCTTTTTAATACTTATTCGTCAAATTTTAGGGTAAGAAACAGCAGACTTTTTACTAGTTTGTCTGATAAACAATAGGTAAAACACTTGGGACAAAAACGTATAAAAAGCATAACACAACTACAAAGGTAGAAGAAGTATAGTACTTTATTATTTATTATTTTGTTGCCGTATTTGTGCATTTAGGAATTGGATAGGGTATGTTCATGGAAAAAGACGTACTCACAATGAGTGACACATAGACCATTCTATTCCCAGCATTCCTTGCAGTTTTACTGTTTTTTGTGGCGAAAAATATTTCTGTGTATTTTTTTACATCATGAATAAAGTATATTCCCCCATCTGATATAGATATTGATGTGTGTATAGGTTGTACAAGTATAATATATTTTATCTCATGGCTGCTGGCTTAGAGGGCACTGAAAGATAAGTAAACAACGGCTGTAATGTTTACCAGTACTGCCAGTCTTAAAATGCACACATTCTTATGGCTACAATAGTTATATGTTTCATATTATGTGAATATTATAATCGATAATTATTTGTTCTCCGGTTGGCATGTAAACTATAGAAATGGATCAACAACACATAATGTGTAATATAAGGTGATTTATTTGCAATAGTAGATAACCAGTGGGGACTACAGTTGCTTGATACACACGGTATGGTGCCCCCACAGTCCAAATAGATTGAGGCTGTTCCAACAAATTACTGTGAAAGAAATTGCAATATAGCTCAAAGTAACTGTATTAATATCAGTTTACTATTACTATTAGTTATGTTTGAACTATCAATTTTGCAGTTTTGTTAGAAAAACAGTGAGCTGTATTGCAATACTGGTAGCCTGGTTGCAGTAACAGAAGATTATCTCTTGTGTGTTTTTGTGTGTGACCGAACGTCGACTCGGCTCACAAGGGCCGAGCTGTAACATCAACCTGAATGGGGGTTTATTTTAGACGGTCGAGGACATGTTTATACTTGCATACAGTCTCTTTTTCAATAAAATAAAATATCATGAGAGTGTATTTCGCGGTAACCCAGCTTTTATCATTTATAAACTTCCGTGGTATTTTATTTTATTGAAAAACACCAACAAAGAGACTGCATGCCAGTCTAGTCGGATTTCAACCTGGCCGGCTTGAGCTGAACGTGTTTACGCGGTTATTTTCGCTGCTTCGATCCGGCAGTTTTATAAGTATAATTCATCATCAAATAAAACAGTGAGGTGCTTATATCCAGAAGGGGCCTGTCAACCAACGACGGAGTCCATAGGGCAAGCACGAAGGGATCCGCCGTGACTTTATAAGCCCCTGTGCTAAGAGTCACCGAGTAACCAGGGGTTATACATTAAACATAGCAGTATGGTGCTACTTACATTAGTGTAGGGTCTGTTATATCTGAATTCATCGTGAGCCTTAAAGTTATTTTATGTTTTTCAAAGTGAGGAACGGATAACTAATACCCCCTCGCCAATCAGTCAGAACATCCCAATTGATTTGCATTATTACCCATGAATTAACGAACGTAAATTACCTGCATGGGCGTTTTGAATTTGAGTATGAAATATTAAATCTTTAGCCATCAGTTCAGTAGCTCTTTGAGGCCGTGGAACAACATTGACGAAGCAACAGTCCTCGACTGTCACGGTGCAACTATGTGGATGTAGAGTGGTTTCGTCACCGTTTTTCAATACGCAAATAGCCACCGAAATCTCGTTGAAGGCGAGAAAGCTACGAGACTTGGGTTCCATACCTCCCGTCAGTGTGTCCGCTGCTACGTAACCATTGTGGTTGGAACAGTGGACACACTGATGGGAGTGAATGAAGTACTGTTTGAGGAGCAAAACTAGTCTCGTGACTCTCTCGCTGCGAACAAGATCTCGGCGGCCATTTGCTAACGTATACTTATTACTTATACCATACCCATGCCGGATCATAACATGCACATATATCTTTGTAGTATACAGTTCTGAAAGTACGAATCTCCCGTCATTGGCAATTTTCGCATTCTATTGAGATTATAGTAACCGTTGATATACCGATTGATGTATTGTGAGGTGTGGGCATGATCATAATTTCTATACTCTGAAAAGAAAAAAAAACATCAAGTATATACAATAATTCATTATTAATGTTAAACGTTGCCTAGGTTACTTGGACGTAGATTCTCTATTCCAAAGGACATCCGCATTGTGAAAATAGAAGAAGCGAATAATTTGAATAAAACT